GACGTATGAAAAGCTACTTCCTTAGTAAAAATCACCAGGAGTCCTGTGTGACCTAAAAGTCTCATATTTATTTGAGCATAGTCTTTCATTGGCAAAAATTCACTTTGTCTGATGCATTCTAAATAGAAGTATGGATACATCTGACACAGTGGGTCTTTGCCCACAGAAGCTTCTGCCCAGATGATTTTTTTAGTCTTTGAGGTCCCACAGGACTACTTGTTATTTCTGCAGATAGTTTGACCCAAGGCAAAAGAGAACTTATGAGAGCTCTTCATCCTGGCAGCTTTCCATCATTTTGTGCTAAAAAATGGTTCAGTGTGCTTTGGCACAACTGAAACCCCAAACCTGAACTCCATCCCTACTCAAACTTTATTCTGAACTCTAACCGAATCCTAACCCATATTTTGTAATTGGCACCACCACTTGGGTATGGCTCTTGACACTGGGAACATAATTCCAACAGTCCTTTGAGACATTTGTGTGATGTTTATGGCATATGAAAAATTATCCTTCATCAAGGTCTCCACAGGACTTCAGAGAATTGCAGTGCTGTTCAATGAACTCAAAGGGCGCGTCTATACTGGCAAGATTTGCTCAAAAGCAGCCGCTTTTGTGCAAAAACTTGCCAGCTGTTTACACTGGCCGCTTGAATTTGTGCAAGAGCACTGATGTTCTAATGTAAGAATTCAGTGCTTCTTGCGCAAATACTTTGACGCTCCCGCTCAGGGATAAGCCCTCTTGCACAAGAATACTTGCGCAAGAGAGCCAGTGTAGACAGGCACCTTAATTTTTTGCGCAAGAAAGCCCGATGGCTAAAATGGCCATCGGAGCTTTCTTGCGCAAAAGCGCGTCTATACTGGGCACAGATGCTTTTGCGCAAAAGCACTTTTTGCGCAAAAGCATCCATGCCAATCTAGACGCTCTAGATTATTTGTGGAAATAATGCCAGTCTAGACACAGCCTAAGGGTTTACTTTGGAATCCAACCTTAATCGGTCCTCTGTTTCTATACTTACAAAATAGTATAAATCAATCATTTCAATGCCTAAGTACTTAGTATTGTGACATTAGTGGGTTCAATCTAACCTGAGCTATCTACAAAGAGTTGCAACTACTTGCACCTGCAAATTGTACATCTAAAAATAGGGCCCAGTGTTTAGAAATCTGTCCTCATAGACCATAGTTGTCCCAATATGCATTTTCCCCACAAATTGTGCAGTCTTATGGGTGCATATTTAAATCTTGTGAACACATTTTTGGAAGCTCATTTGTAAAAATGAGTTTGCTCATTTGTAAATATGAAACAAAAATCTTAGGGTCCTATTTTTTGTATTAGATGAAAACAATTCTTTTTTAAAATTACTTCCTGGGGTAAGAGCCCAAGGAGTTGGAGATCCTTTTGAGTGCTTCTGCAAACCTCTGTTTTCCACTGAAGACACCGGGCTAAATCTTGAAATCTGTGTCCAGGGGTTACCTTGTCCTTACTCAGGCTGACTGCCACTCAAAGTCTAATTGCTTGAACAAGCACTTAGGCTATGGCTAGATTGTATTGCTTTTCTGGATACCGGAATTATCCCCCAGAAGCAATGCTGCATGCAAGGAACGTGTCCACTTTTTCAAAAAAAAATTCAAAAGATTGGATGCGCTCTTTCACCATCCCTGTAAACCTCGTTCTACGAGGAATAAGGGATGTCTCCAAAGAGCACTTTCTTTCACAATTTGGCACTATGTAGACACACCAAATTTTGAAAGAGACTCTTTTGAAAGTAAATAAAAAACCCAAATTGTGTATCTTTTTCCGATTTAACAGTGCGGTCTAGATGTAGCCTAATTAGTAAGAATTTCAGGATTTTGCCCAGTATGGGTTGAGGGCACTCAGCACTATTTAAAAGTCATTCTGAACCTTGGTGATCAGACCATAAATTTGCTAATCCTGAGTCTTTAATGACTCATTTCTATTGTTGCTGGATAGCAAGGGAAATTTCTAAGACTTCCTCTATTTAGGGCATGTCAACACTAGGAAATTATTTTGAAATAACTTATTTTGAAATAATAACTCCCAAAATAATAATATATTTCGAAATAGCATGTCTACACTACAGGGAATCCTCAAAATTAGTCCAAGGCAGGCTCCCTGAATGTGGATGCGCTACCTCGACTTAGAGCTCCAGGAAGCACTGAGGAGTAATTACTTTGAATGACTCTGGGGAGCAGTTATTTTGAAATAGCAGCAGTGGAGCGTCCATACTACCGCTATTTCGAAACAAGCACTATTCCTTGTGGACAGCAGAAGTTATTTTGAAACAATCAGCCCGTTATTTTGAAATAACAGGCTTGGTAGTATGGACACTCCTCTTGTTATTTCAAAAAGAGGGGAATTGTTTTGAAATAGCTCCATAGACCAGGGCTTAGACAAGGTGGATGAAACAACAGTATTTGATGAAATAATAGCCTGAATAGTGATGATACTGGATTCTGTAACTTCCATGTTTGCAAAACACTTAACTATGAAATAACCCCTTTATGGCTTTAATATCAGAATTTTCCCATTTTTCTTCAATACGAGAACTATTGTATGATCCAGAAGTATTAACGTGTGACACAGTTTAGATCCCTAGCTATTTAATACACAATGGGAGTGAACAAACAACAAATACAAATCTTTTCTATAATATACAGCATCTTTTCTATAATATATATAGAAATATGGTAAACGTAGATACTATCACACATAATAAGCCTTTAGTCTTTATGCACATTAAAACCATGATGTTTTTGATGGGCATAAAGAACTGAAAGCATTTTGTGTAACAGAAGTAAGATTAAAAATAGCTATGGGTATGTCTACACTACAGCACTAATTCGAACTAACTTAGTTAATTTGAATTAAGCTAATTCGAACTGGCACATCTAGACTTAAAAACTAGTTCGAATTAGCGTTTTTCTAATTCGAACTAGCATGTCCACATTGAGTGGACCCTGAACCGAAGTTAAGGCTGGCTGGAAGCAGTGCCAGCAGGGCATCAGGTTACGAATTAGAGTGTGGAGCTGCTGCCTCAGGCTAGCCGAGGGCTGTGCTTAAAGGGACAGGACCCCTACCCCGGACAGACAGTTCTCAGGGTTCCCCGCTTGCTTGTCTACCTCGACGAGGGAAAGCAAAGTGGTCCTGTTTTGGAGTGCCCTGAGTGCCCACACTCAGCACATCACAGCACTCAGCCATCAGCCCGGCTGCACTTGCTGCAGGCTGCCATCTGGGGAGTCAATCGGGGGGCTGTCAGAATCCAGGAGACCCTGCAGGAGAGCTTCCACCCCGAGGAGCCCTCAGAGCCACCCCAGTCCTCCCTATCGGGGGCTCGTACCTCATTCCTCCCTCACCTCCTTCCACTTACCCCTTCCTAGCCTCCCTTCCTGATGTAAAAAATAAAGGACACGTGTGTTCAAAAATAGAAACTCTCTTTATTTAAAAAAACTGGGGGGAGGGGGATTAACCTCTGGGGAGACTGGGAAAAGGAGGTGGGAGAGGGGAGGGGGAAACCTGGGAGGAGGGAACTGGAAGGGGGAAGAAGGAGGAGGGGACGTATAAAACTATGGTACGCCCACATCTTCAGTACTGTGTACAGATGTGATCTCCTCACCCCAGAAAAGATATTTTGGCCTTGGAAAGGGTTCCAAAAAGGGCAACTAAAATGATCAGGGGGTTGGAACAGGTCCCATATAACAGGTCCGTGACTTTTCAGTTTGGAAAAGAGGAGACTGAGGGAGGATATGATAGAGGTCTATAAAATCATGAGTGGTGTGGAGAGGGTGCATAAAGAAAAGTT